GGTAGACATGTGTTTAAAAGAGGAAGAAAGTATCCTGTGTAGCTTAAAATTAACTGCTCCTCAAATTCTACTGTTTTGTCACAGTTAATTAAACGAAAATGTACTAATTATTCAGAAAAACAATTTAAAAAATTACGATAAATTTCCAAAAAATCCACATGTTCATTGTTACATTATATTCAAAATGTAATTGTTACAGATTCAGAAGAAGAAACAGAACATTGTTTAATCGTATTTTCCGTTTCGTTACTCCAAATGTCAACAACTTAGTAATTTTCTGTACTTCAATTCAAATACCAAATTTAGTATTTCATAACAATAGGAATACTTTCTGCGAAAGAAAAATAACTGTTAAAGCTATGTTGCCTTCACTGATAAATATGCAGCCTTTTTCTGTAGATAAGATATAAAAGTTACTTAAACAGAAACGACGAATATATTGCATTTAACAAAACCCACAATTTTCACGTATCGTATATACTAGTTAATCAAATAAACTCATTCTATCGGTGTTTCATCGTGGAAACTGCGAAGTGTATTAACTTGTGAAATACGATGTGAAGTTCCATTTTTTCAAAACTGAAGTGAAATTTCGAGTGATGTGCAATGCTAACCTTCACTCTGTTCAATTTTTTCCCAAGCAAACATCTGTATCGTTATTCTTCTCCAATTGTTTACGCTTTATCTATTTTTACACTTTTCCAAAAATCGAGCAATATAAAACTGCATTCGAAAGAGCATCATGCAGTATTTTAGTACAATGTGTGTATAATAAGTCTTACGAACAAAAATGAGGCTTACAGCTCGATATACATATATCGAGTAATTATTTCAAACAATAATTGTTTGAATTATCGTACAGAAGATATCACCAACGAAAAATTTGGTAGAAAATAACATCTGACATTCTACCGACAGAAACATTTAAACACAATTTTTAAATAAGAATGACAGGAACGCTAACCTTTATTCTAATTTTTTTTTAAATTCTGTTAGAAAAAAGATGGTACAAATACTGTACTACTTTTAAACAAAGGAACATTAATTTACTGCAAGAAAGTTTTAACAAACACTCCGGCAAGCTCGAAGATTTCGTACATTAACTCTCTGTAAGCAAACATATTTTTTCACATTCCATAGGCAAACTGGGTCGTTCACGTCCGAGCCTAATTCTTCTACCGTTCTTGGCTTTGGAAAAATCTGAAAAAATTCTTGGACACTTAACAAAGTCTCTACTACATCGTACAGTTGCTCGTTGAGCCAAATATTTCCAACTTTTTTCAATAAAAATTCGTTTCGAAGAAATACAAGAGCGCAATTTCGCTTGGGTCATTAATGACCCAGATTGCCAGCTAAAAGGGTTAACCGCCGCAAATAGAACTGATTGATCGATAGAAACATATTCGACGATGTTCTCCCGCATGAATCGAACTTCGCGGCCGGAAAAGGCCGAAGAACCGGAAGAAGCCAGGCACTGACAAACGAAAATAGCGCGCGACTTCTGCCTCGACCATACGTATATTGTAATTTTGTGAATTCTGCAGGTCAGTAACGCGACACCTTTATGTAATCGCGAACCAGAAAACTAAAACCGTTCCTCGATTTATCAGCATTCCATGTACTTTCGAATATCGTGAATTTTTCACGCACTCCGCGCATACATACTTTTTCGATGCTTCCAAGGACTTCCATACGTTGCACAGTTTCAGGACAATTATAGAGTACTCGCAGTTAGAGAGTTCTCAACACGTTAATCGCGAGAATTGCACTTCCTGCGTGATCAAACGATCGTTTATTTGGAAGAAATATTCGAAGTAAATTGCTAAATAAACTGTTTGTAGCTTATGTAAGCGTTGCTTAGCAGAATGTAAATATACACCGACACTTTTCAGTCTTGTATGTTTGGTAGAGTAATAAGAGTTAAGTTCGCAATATTGGTACTAAATGTGATATTGCTTTGTACAGTCTGTAATTTCATCGGCGATTTGAATATAAACGAGAAATAATGGTACTGAAAGGCGACGAGGAAGTGTGCTTCACTTGATAAAACTTACTGTTTCAAAAATCACAGGTACTTTTAATTATCACTTTTGGTATATCAATTTTATACAGAGCAAAATACAAACGTGAAACTAAATAAAGTAAGGCTTAAAAGGGAGAAAATGAAGTTTTCGAACTATAGAATTTACAATAAAACAATTAATATCAATAGCTAAGATTAAATCTGTTTCGAAAGAAATGTAAAACACGCAGGCAAAAAATATCCCAAATTTCAAGTAAAACAGTTGTTAAATACTTTTCAAATATTGATAAAGAATAAAACAAGATCGAACACAATTGACGAACAAATAAAAAATACCTACTTGCAGGACAATTTCTCTCGACGATTTGCAACCATTAAACTAACATCGCGAAAATCCACCGCGAAATCTACGTAGGCCCGCAAAAGTATGCTCACTCTGACTAAAAGGTTCTTCACCGAAGAGAAATTTCGAAGACTTTCGATCACTTTAAACGAGCCATAAGAAAGGGCAAAAAGAAAACAGACATCCACGGAGCGTGTTCAAACGAAAACATCGAGTGGTGTGTGGTTCGAATGCATCCCAGTTCAGAGCGGGATCTCCACGTTCGCAGGACAACCTGTTGAACAAGTCCTTTAAGGCAACCACGCTATGAAAAATCCTAACGTCGTTTCGCGACGGATCCTCCGCCACCCTCTCTTAACAGCTGCACGGAATCGTCAACGACGCGGACACTCACTTTTCTCCAACATCGTTTCCGGGTTCTCTTTTTCTTCCGTGATCGGCGAAAATTCGTGGCGCGCGATATTATCGTGTTCCACGACTACGAACGAACCTCAAAGGACGACCGAAGACTGAGGGGCGCCGCGACGCCCGACGCCGACGCCACCAACGCCACGTTCTCTCTTCGCATCGTTCGACTACGCAGAAGCTGACGATTCAGAATAGTCGCGTGACGCGCTCCTCGAAACGTACAGAATTTCGCACGGAACTGATCCACGAGCGCGTGAAACGTGAACGTAAACGCGTGTATTTCATTTTTCCCTGTTTATTTTCCTTCCTCGTGGTATTTTTGGACGGTACCGTGTAACTTCGTCCTTTTCCTGCGTTTCGTTTTTGGAGGAGCGGCGTGTGTGCAGTAACGCAGAAAATGAATGAAATTCAGTTTCAGCGCGTGAAATTTGTTGCCTTTTTCTTTAGCTTCACAATGTTTCGTTTTCGTAACTTTTTTACCCTCCGTAGGTAATCTGACGCGTTGACGACTCGAGCAAAATTTCACTCCTGTATTTCTTCGAAACGAATTTTTTGTCGAAGAAAGTTTCGAACATTTGACTTAACACAGTAGAGACTTTGGTAAGAATCCCAGAATTTTCTCAGATTTTTGAAGATACGAAGAAATATGTTAGCCTACGAAGGGTTCAATTTTCCGATACGTTGTTACATTTTCGGGAGGAGAGGCGCGTTTTGTAGGGAAGGAGGACACGAACGTATAAATAGATAATCGTATATTAAAGAAGATAAATGATTCATTAGTAGCACGTGTAATAAGATATGTAAAAACATCGAGAAACGTCGCAGTACGAGGAAATCAATCCTGTGTTCGTTCCAGTAATTTAATATGACTAGAATTATCTTTACACATGTGACCGTTCAATTTGTATGGTCTCTGCGATATTAGATTCGATTTCATTCTTGAATCACAGACGGAAATCAGAAACTGTGATTATTTAATTGTAGAAAAATTGTTATTACATTCTCAGTATTTTTTTATTTACGTTGCCACCTAATTTACAGTACTGTGCAATGGAAAAAATGTTTCGTGATTTAATTCACTGACTCACACGGCGCAGAATGGGTTAACTTTATCTTCGTGCATGGTTTATCAAAGATATCAAATTGTACTGAATTACATGTGCTCAAATTAACATATTACTCGCTAATATTTTTTCCGTATATTTCTTAAATTTTATTTCTTTACTTTTTAGTCGTACTCAATTATTCTTAAAATTTCTCTAAATATGTTCATACGGTAACTTTTGTGAATGACATTTTGTAAAATCTATTTTTTGTAGAAAAAGTTATGTTACATTTTGTTTCTTTATCTTTCCTACTGTTCAAATATAATATCGTTACTTTTAATATTAGTGTGTAATATTTGGTGTCACAAGACGTTTAAACAGATATTTAAATCTCAGTTCGTACTGGCTAATTAGTTTAAATATTGGGATATTTAAAATCAAATTAACGAACTCTTCTCAAACAAACGACACTCGTTGTGGAAACAGACACGTGTTCTAGAAATTCAAAGCAAAGACAAAGGGATGAATTCTATTACGAGAAATCAAGAGCAGAGACCCTTCGAGTTTCGAGATAAAATAAAATATTGAAAATTATAATTAAATAGACGTTAAAATAATTGATTAACCATTATTAGAAAAAATATATGTATGTAAAATGAGGAAAACGAATAAAAATAAAAACATTTACAGTTAATTCTTGACTAATAGTTGTAAGTATTAGCTCGTAAATGATTTTTTTCACACTGAAATCAAAAACCACTATATTTATACAGTAAATGATTATCTTGAGAAATTGATTTGTACTTACGTTAGGTTACCCTTGAATATACAGAGCGATTCAAGCAACTGTAACAAGCCATATCTCTTTTTCAGCCCAAGTTAGAAAAAAGTGTTAAAGAAGAAAGAAGAATAGTTGAAGGTGGACTGCATATTCAAGATCATATTTTTTCGCAAGTGCAATAACGCATGTGCATTTTGTTAATGCAAAAATCAAATATGATCGTAAATACGTAGCACACCGTTCAAACCATTCCTTCTTTTTCTCTAACTTCAACCAAAAAACAGAGACAGAGCTTGTCACAGTTGCATGAACTACTCTGTATTTCCTTATGTTTCACGTTAATCTTAAGATATAATAAGAAGCATGCTCTAATTACCCAAGCAAAACTGTGAAACGCACCTTTCCCAAACAGAAATCCCTTGCCGAATTTCAAAGCATCGTCAATCTCGTGCAGCAAATCGCTCTCACTATCGTTTCTCTTCGTCGAAAAATCGTAACCACATCCTTGATGATATAAATTATGCCGAAGAAAAAAAAAAAAAATTAAAAATGCATTGCCAAAATTTTGTACCTTCGAAAGTGCAGTTCGACGATGCTCAAAAGCTTCAGAAATCTCTTGTGGAATATTTACGATTCGGAAAACAGAAATAAAGTGGTGACTGTCAAACGAAATTGCGGTTCTCGAAACGGTGATTATTATAATTTTGAATAATAGACAAATGAAGACAAAAATTTCGGAAAATCTGAAATCATAGTTTTCCAGCAAGCAACACTTTTCATCCCTTCGTTTCGATTTTACTTTTTAATTCATACTAAACGGAAGGTGAAGTTAGAAATATTAATAAACATCACCTAACAGAGTTTTACGTACTCAAATATATCATAAATATTCCACGATTGTTTAGTGTTAGCGGTGTATTAATAGCTGGCAAGCGAAGTTTCAAAGCGGCGTTACAAAGCAAGAAATACAAAACAGAAAATGACTCGGAATGATCGAAAATGAAATAAACAGGTATGTTGTGATGGAATATGAAAAACAAACTGAATCGTTTTTTGTATACCTGCGCGTTATATTTACAAAGATACATTGCACTTTTAGTTCGCGATCGTGTTTCCTCTGAAATACCTAATTCTGTTTTCCTAGACGTAAACCTTTCGAGAAAGTTATACAAAAAATAAGTAACTTCGGTAAATAATGCTGGTAACAATTGTGCTCCAGTATTTATTTATTTTTCCACTAACAGACTACGACTAAATGGCACTACTTTCTAAGTGTTTATTCCAGTCAGAATTTAATCTGCGACCATGATATATTTCTGCAATAACTTTACTATAAACCCAAAATACAATGCCCGAGATTGAATGAGTGAAAATCTGACGGCAGGTCTAAAGTTTCGTTGGTAGAACATCTCGGTGTAAATATACACCAAGTCAAAAAAGTCTCCGTACAGTTCGTTAGAATTTATTTTGCACTGCATAACTTCAACAGAAAGAGTAGTAAATAAATAATATTTACGTTACTTTATTTAGAAACATAACAGTTGCCATTAGTACGAAGGAAAATGATTTACATTCGTTTGTCAACAATGAGACTAAAGAAATGTAAGAAAAATGAGATGAAAATAATTTGCTTATCGAAGAATTTAGGTTCCAAAGGCAAGTGTAAATTAGTTTCTTGTCTGCCTATGTACAAGTAGAAAAGACGTTGCTCGAGATATTTTTCCCATGATGGAAATTATGTTTCTAAATAAAACAACGTGAATATTATTTATTTACTGCTTTCTCTGTCAAAACTATGCAATGCAAAATAAATTCTAACGAACGGTACGGAGACTTTCTCGTTCGAGCGTATGTAAATGTTAAACTGTGCTGCAAAGTATGACTTTTTCAATCAGAAGCTGCTCCTGTCGACCTGCTTGCGAACGAGTTACATTTATTTTTTTCGTTCAAAATGTAAACGATACACTTTATTCTTAACGCCTACTAACTTTTAGGTAGAATAAATTTTCACAGCTTAAGGGGGTCTTCTAGTGTGACGGTTTCAAAAAATCGATTTTTATTCTTTTGCATATATCGAAAGTACAACTCTTTAAGAATGTACTCCTGAAGTTTTATAGTTGTATTCAATCAATCGAACTCAAATTTTGCACATGTCTTCAGAACATGTGTGGCTATGGTCGGTAGTAGAATTATGCCAAAATGTACATTTTTCTGATTTTTAGAGCCTCTGAAAGAGGAAAAAAAATCGATACTTCGTATTCAAAGTGCCGCCATTTTTTTAATTTTCAATATTTTTCTTTTATTCTACTACCGACCATAGCGACATGCACACTAAATAAGAATCAATTGGATTCTTTTATTTTTGATAAGCAGAACAGCTCAAATCACGGCAACTATGGACTTACCTTTTCTTTTCATGCTCCTGTTTGACGTGTTCCACAGCAGCCATAGTTAATTACTTTTCAACAAAAAAAATTTGTAACGATTCTTCAAGGACAAGTGAATACATAGGAATAAAGCTCATGTTAATAACTGTTACCGTACTTCTGCAATAAATTAGCAAAGAAGGCCTAAAAAAACGGCCGTCACGCTAGAAGACCCCCTTGAAACGGTCCAAACGGTCGACTGTAGTAATATTTTTCATTTGTCAGAGAAATAATACAGAAAATATTTAGTTTAAACGGTGACTTCACGGCGTTACCTACACAAAATGAGGTATTCGACGCCGCTACGTAGGTTGTTAAGGGTGAAGGTCTCGAGGAGGTTCGGCCAACTCGTCGGATGTAGTAGGTCGTGTCGCAATTCGTCGGAAATAACCAAAATCGAGACGGTGGTTCCGGCGCGAAGCTGGACGCGCAACGAAACGTGCTACGAGCACTGGCCTATTTCTCGATGAGGCCTATATTTAGGTTCTCATTCTCGAATGAATCATGGACGCGTTGCGTTGCAACCGGCCGACCAGCCTTGGTCGGTCCTCGCTGATTCGACATCGGGGAAAAATATATTCTGGGTGGTAGGTGTTTATCCGGTGAGCTAGCGAATACTTTTTCCCTCTGTTCTTACAACTAGTTACAAATGTACGGTTACTCGAATTAATATTCGGACACTCTCTTTAGAACAGTATAATTGTTTTTTAAATTGGACCTAGAGACTTCAGTTTTTTTTTTTTATTTATTTTCTTTTTTTTTTTTGTTCGATGATTTAATTTAGAATATATTGAAACTCATTTCTATAGTTCTATTTATCTTTATTATTTTATACACAATGACTCATGCTAATATTCGGACACTATTTGGAGCACTGCAACTTTTTTAAAATTGAACCAAACGACTTGAGTTTTTTTGAGAAGTTAGAAGGATTAGTATACTAGATGACGTGTAAAAAAATTGGTGGGAATCGTGAAGAAAACAGTAAGTGTCACTTGGTGCAACTTTTTTATCTGAGCTTGTAATGAAAATTTATGACATACATTTTGTAGATCTATGTGAATTATACACATGCTGAAAATTTCATCGAAATCGGCTGATGCAGAAACAGGCATCGAAAGATGTAAGAATCGTTAGATTTATTACAGTAATAAACCGACAATCGTGAAAAACTGCGATTTCCACAATTTTTGACTGTTTGTTGTTAATCGATTTCGTTGAAATTTTCAGCATGTGTGTAATTGACATACATCTCCAAAAAGTATATTTTAAATTTTCCGACTAATTGCAATTTTCTCAAAATTTTGTGCACACGTCATCTAGGAAACTAATCCTTCCAACATCTAAAAAAAACTCAGGTCGTTTGGTCCAATTTTAAGAAAGTTATATAAATATATGTCGATGTTTGTGATTTTTTATAGTTAACTAAACGATGAGAGAACATCAGCTAAGAGGCAGATGGGTACCATCGAATTTTTGATTAGAATGTACCCCTATCGACTAATTCGCACAATTCTTTTGTGGCCAATACAACAGTTATTGAAAATTAATCTTCAAAAATGCGTTTCCAGCGTTTTAGACGACTCATGTGTACATTTTTTGAATTTTGAATTTTTCTATCAACATATTCTATAAACAATCAAATCAATTCTATAAACATTGCTGTTTTACGAAACATTATGAAATATAGTATTATGATGTAGCAGTGTTCATCTGTTGAGAAAATTAGTGGCAGTTTAACGGAATATAAAATTGATAATTAAGTTATGAAACTGTAGAGAAAACGTTTCGATCGTTGAATGCACCTTCATAATAGAGATATAATTCTGAACGAGTTATAATTAAAGTAACCAGACGTATCGATTTATTCAGCACAGTACTAATTTTAAAGGCTCTGTACTGACTTAAACTTTATACTGACTGTTGTACTTATTTTAAGAAAAACAACTCTAGATGTACAATAAAAAAAATACATGCAATTGAAATAATTGAATATCTTTTACGTATTCCTGGTACAAATGCACAAGTAGAAAGAGTATTTCCAATAGTAAGTAAAATTTGGACAATGAAAAAAGTCAATTAGAGTCAGATACTTTGAAAAACATACTAATTGCACCGAACAATATTAATGTAAACTGTGATCAGCTTTATGAAGGCATTTAAAATAATGAAGAATTATTGAAGGCGATTTTTTTTTTTTTTTTAAACATTAGGTACTTACATAAATATTAAGCAATCATATTTAACAATAAAAACGTTGAGAGTTTTACACGTTCATTTTTTTTAATTCGTTAAATACAGTAATTAAATTAAAATGTAATTTTAAAGTTAAAATTATATCGGCTTTTTGTTCCTCGATAAAAATGAACTCAATTTGCCTTCAGAAAATCCAGTCAGTTTAATTGTAATACGTTCGTATTGAAACAATTCAGCCAGAACTGGAATTATTTTGTTTTTCGTTAATTTAACTTTCATTTGATTCGCAAACCTATTAATAATTTACCTCTCCAAGTAAATAACGATTCTAAGCAATCTAAATTTGAAAAATATAACTAAATAACTGTACAAAAACTAATCCATGGGAATATGTATTAAGTTATCGTTAACCACTATAAATATGTGCAAATACATCATCGTGACAGTTTAAAAATACAGTTATTGTACGTATCTTTTATAGGTTCGAATGTCAAAACATATTTCTTCGAAAAGGAAATTTCTAGCGTGTTTAAACTGACACCTGTCGGAAGGAATACACAGAGTAATACGTAAAACTTGAGATAGTATCCTGACACGAAATCTGTAAAGGTAGAGAAGTGAAATAGCGAGAATTCTTATTCACCAATACTTTTGTATTACGTGAAAGAACACAAAAATGACGGAATTCTTTGAAAATACAGATTAACAAATACACCACAGACACGCGACAAAATTCCTGAATATTTAAAATTTTACGATAAAACTAACGTCCGTTAAAGTTTGCACACAGTAGAATGTTTCTCTATACACTTGTAGTACAATATAGGGAAAATTTAATACGCTTCGATATTTCAAATTTGCAAATATTTTGAATGAGCAATATCTGCAGCAGTTAGCAACGAAATTCTGACATATAATCGAAAATTGTTATTTACTAATTTAAAATGTTCGTTCGTTTCTGAAATAACAGAAAATTGTAGTATTTTCAGCTGTAAATGTATTTTTATGTCAGTTGTTTACAAACACTTATAAGCTGCAAATGAAAAAATATCATAAAATTTTACATGATACCAAAAACTGTGTAAAGATTTACGACAGTAGAAATTCCTGCGGTGCTAGATAGTAGTTCTGTGTTCTAGTTGCAACGATAACCTACGACCTGTGCTAAAGCCAACAAACTTATCACTCAGCAGTTCCATTTTATTGGCAAGAAACCAATCCGCTTCTCATCTATCGATTCAACGTGTATTATATATAACACTTTGTGATATTGTATATATTTTCTGACTTTCTCGTGAAATACAAACGGTCCGCGACATTTTCTTAATTACACTTGGATCAATTATTCACTGGTGATTGTACGTGATGTGAATTGGGTTCGAGATTTATACAGATATATATTTTTGATTTGCTGTATTATGTTGTATTTATGTTACGTTTTGTCAATATAACAAAATAAGATTCCATTATTCAATTTATCAAACTATTACTACTTGTTATAATGATTTTTTGCTAATGTTACCTGGCACAGCTGAAGCAACTACGACATATCAGAGTACATTTTAAAATAGCTCATACATTAAAATCATACGTAAACAAATTGTTATTACCTAATGTTTTTTTATGCAATGTCATATAAAGTCATAACAGCTTGAATTTATTTATACGCTGTATCGTCTAACTTGGATAAAACGATCTAAATTAAATGTACTGGATGAATTTTATAAATTCAAAGTAATGTAATGAGTGTAGGAACTGTTATCACTATTTAGTTGTTGTTGCTTATAGCACTGAATGTCAGTCTTCTTCTCTACGACCTGTGCGAGGTTTTGAGGATCACTGAACCCCCTTGCCCCTGCTGTGCCTCGACGTGCCCTATATTCGTTGGTGTAAGGAGGGTTACCTGACTGCGGGGATATTTGAAAATGTTAATAATTAAAAAACGGAGGCTCAAAGGCAATTTTGTTATTCTTGATTTTTATCTTACTTTAACTTCTAGAATCACCCCTTAAAAGTTCACCCAAGTGTGGTGGAACATACTGTACATACAACCCGAATTATGAAACGGAATTGGATACAGAAATCTCCTGATGATAAGCACTTCAATCCTGTACATTACACGAATCGTAAAGGTAAATGTGAAGAGAAGAATTGTTGTAGTTATGAACTTGGAAACCTACCTATTATTAAAACACTAAAAGAATTCTGTACATACATACCTATTTGTTAGGAATTGAAATTACGATAGTTATTTATTGTGTCATTTTTAAATTAACAATGACGAAAAGGGATTTAATACCATGGGCTTTTTTTCTTAGAAGACTCTAAATATAAGATTATTCATAATCCAGGTGGACGCGTTTAATAGATACCCAGTTATGTTAATTGATAAGAATTCAGATTCCTTAATTTTAAAAATTCGAAAGCTTCAAGGGAAAGATGAAGAGATCAAAGCTGTTTCAGACATTTTGAAAGATAGGTGTTATGAAAATTATTGTTTAAGAAAAAATTTATTATACAAGTTTGTCGATGGCATGGAAATATTAGTAGATTCAAAAGCTAGACAGACAGATGTAATTCAATTAGTATATCAGAAGGAAATAAATACAGATAATCAGATTAACAAAATTAATTTATTTCAAATTTAAAACAGAAAATAGAGCTATACAGGCTATACGGGGTCCCAGCTTTTTCCGATCAAACTTTGTCAGTATGTTCTATGGGTATAAGAAAAAATTTTTATGTAAATATAGGTCGTCTGAAGTTTCGTCAAAAAGTTATAACAAAAATACGAAATACGAAGGCAATAGTAACAAACTTGCGGTTATTATCATGCAAGACAATGACACTGGCACAAGTTACATTCAACACCTTCAACGACCTCAAATCATAAAAACAACTCGCATAAATAAATTAGATCTACGTTGGGGAAGTAAAGAATTTTCGAAGAACAATTTTTTCAAAAAATTAAGAATGGCGATGGTAATTCAAAAAAAATGTTTCCAAAAATTCTTTATTACTAAAATGTTGGACATCAAAAATCACACAGCTTTGTATTGATCTTTTTTTCCATACATTGTACGGTTTCGTAAATATTCACGGCAATATGAAAACTCACAATTTTTTCGAGGGAGTTTTTTCACCGCTAAGACCGGTTTATTACCGAAACAAAAAAAAAAGTTTCTTTATTTTCATTAATGGGGCTACATTTTTGCAAAGTTTCAAATTTTTTTGAATTTTCGGCTTACCGAACTTCTCTTCAAGCGAACGCGAGTTGGTATACAATGTTTGGTTGCACGAGAAATGCAAACAAGCAAACAGATGAGAAAACGAGTGAACAAGAGTGAAATGTACAAAAATTATGTTTGAAACATACTGTAAAATATTTCAATAAACACTTTCCCGCTTCCCTTGTAAACATTCCTACATACGTATATGCGTGTAGAAGGAAAACTTTATTGAACAGTGAGTGTCAAATATTTTTTATGTAAAAGTAAGTTAAATATGCAGAATAAAACTTTTTCATATCGTATTTTATTCTTGCAACAATGGAATTCTAATGCTTCAGTCATAATAGAATAATTGGCACAACACTAAAATGAATTAAATTTAGTCTCAATTAAGTTCAATTACATTAACTGAAATGTATTTATATCATTAACTCTAATATAAGCCTTCGTACTTATGTATTAATTAGATTAATTTCTTATGTAGTGATAAAATTGATATGAAAATGCCGACCAAAAATTGTTGAATTGTTGAACAACAGAATTTGTCGTTAAACTTTCAGGCAAATAGGACCAACTACAGACTAATTAAAAAATTCTTCTCGTATAAAAACACTAATGTATCTATTTATTTTTTATGATCCTAATTGTAAAATCATGGTGTACCGAAAAAAAACGTATATAAATTTATATTCGCTGAAACAAATTAATACTAAAATACTAATACTGAAATATGCATAATCTGTAATTCCTTATTTTTAATATTTCTTCAATTTTTTTTTACTCGGGCAAATGTTTATTATTTTCATAACAGACTGCTATTTTAAATTTGAATAAAAGTAAATAATATAAAACCACAGAGCAAGAATTATTAATAAATATATAAAGAGTGACGAAAAGTTATAGAAAGCATAAAGTATTGTACAATATATTCAATGTTTCCAAAAGCTAAACTGAACAAAAGACACGTACTCTATATTTACAGTGTACTATTATATTAGGAAATATAATTGATCCAATTACGATATATTCTGTCTAATACTGAACAATGAACGTATAAAATAACGAAAGAAGAACAGGAGGAAAGAAGCACTAATCAACAGAAAACAATCGTTTGCGCGGTATCGTTAGTAACGAGCAGCACGACAAACACGGAAAACCTACGACAATGCAATCCACGACATTCTACGAACGTGCGTTAGTAGCTGTTATTGTATCCAATTCTCGACACGCCGGTCGTATCTCTCAAATTCAAAATCAGTCGATCAACACTCGAGCACCATATCTCAGTAACAGCAATTGAAAAAAAAAACGACGAAGTAAACACAACAATCCTCGATTCGGCGGAACTCACCGTCGTCGGGTGTAGTGGATATTTCAAGGAACTCTTGCAGATGCTTCGGCAATTTTCTCGCATCTTCGAACTCCTTCCCGTCGATCAGAAATTTTGCATTTACGACATTCTCCTCCTCCTTGCATTTTTTCTCTCCTTTGCCGTCACTTTCCGCCTCGCTCTCGTCTAAATTAATGCCAAACTTATTCAATCTGTTTCTCGCTTTCTCGATGAATTCTTTTTCCACAGCGCTCATACCGATCTTCTCCAATTTGTCGTTCGCCTTACGAATATCCTCGTGAGCGCTGATCTTCACCACTTTGTGGTGTTTCCTCTCCTCCCGCTCGAGAACTTTGTGCAAATACTCGTCGTACATCCGCTGACGAAACGACTCGCCGTTCACCGCCACCGCGGACATTTTCGGTTTCTCGATTTTCACGGTCCTTTCAACGTCCGAAACTCGAGACGACGTGTTTTCTTTAGGGGAGCACCGCTCGTACTTCGCTGTTCTATTCCCCGCGGAAGCTCTTTCACGAGCACCGCTTATCTCCTTCGATCGATCCTCGATATTCTTCGCAGGAACTCTCTCCCCATTTCTGCTAATCACGGAATGTTGTTCCACGTGCTCGATCCTCTCGCACGTCTCCTCCTCGAGGAACCCGTTCCCGTGATGCGTTTTCTTTACAAAATCCCTGTAACCGTGTTTGTTGAACTTCTCCGAACGATCTTTCTCCACGTTCTCGGACTTCTCGTCCCATCTCTCGCTCTCAATCCGGGCGTCGTTATCTCTCCAAGCACCTTTGGAGGTGTTCTCTTTAGTTCGAAAGACGCTATCTCGATTGGAAGATTTGTCTGGCTGCGCTTTCGATTCGTTTTCATTCGCTCCTTTCTCCTCCATTCCCTCTCTAACGTGCACCTGGAATTCGTCGAACGCCTCTTTCTCCTCCTCCTCAGCCAATATTACGTTCTTCAATTGATTCTCCAGCAATTCTATGTACTTGAGCTGTTGCGCGAAGTACTCTGGAGGCAGCGAATACTTTCGACGACCTTCCAAATAATTCCCAGCCTCGGTCTGAAGCTTCTTCAGGTTCTGCATAATCTCAGTAGCCGCCACGTGCTTCAGATTTTCCGCGTTCTTGAACCGACGCGGCTCCAAATGGCTCCTCGGCGGATTCTGATCGAAGATGCTCGTCGTATCGATACACGATTTGTCCACATTCACAACACGTTTGATTCGCGGCGGCGGCTCGACTCTGTCGTCGATCAACGCCGGATTCACGTTGTAACGCGGATCGATAGTCCTTCGTGGTGGCGTCTTTTTCCCAGCTGTGTCCGGCATTGTGAGCGTTCTATCGATGATCGCGCTATTCAACGTAATTGGACTCTTGCTGAAAGGTGTCGTACTCCTGGCCGGCGGGTCAGGCCTTTCGGGCGAATTCACAATCAAAGCGGTGTTGATATAATGAACCGGAGTTGCTCGTTTGCCGGCGCCGTGCTCACCGTCGTTATCTAACCCTGACTCTTTTGCAATGTCCGACTGACTGCCATAAATTCGTCCGCTGGAACGGCTCTTATCGCTTTGTTTTCCCTCACCCGACGGTTCTAATAATAAATCATCGGAGAGCGATGTCGCATGGCACGGCGTATCGATGGGTTCGCGTCTCGCCAAGTTCAGCCAGTCGCATAGGCGAGTAGCTTTGAGACGCTGCTGATCTTTGTCGAAAGCGCTGGACTGCGTGTGGGAAGACTTCGAGTCCGACAGACTTGACTCGTCGAACCTCACTTTCGTCTCGTTCGGCGCGCTTTTCAACAGCTTCGAACTGCTTCGACTTTTCCTATCGTCGGAATTCTCTTTTATAATTTCCAGCAGTCTATTGGTCGACGTTCTATCGTTGGTATCGCGGGTTTCCTCAACAACCGGCTTGGAAAAGTGGACCTTCGCTTCGCGTTTGCTGTCGGTTTCGGCGACAGGCTGCAATTCGACCACATATTTGGGAACAGAGATTCGCGGAGGTGGTTCCTCCGCGAAGTAACTGTGCCTGTTGAGGAACTTTTTGTGGAGATCCAGCAAATTATCCGGGCTCGTTTTTATCGCAGCCTTTTGCTGCGACGGCGACAAGCATACGAGTAACCTAGGGTCCTTGGTGGTCGCCAAGCCTAACCATGCTTCCGAATTGCTTTTCGCTACGTCTGTTTGCCGCGACATTGACCGTTCAACGTCTACGTTCGAATCACACGCGTGTCGTTCCCTCTGTTCCGATTGCTCTGACTTACTCTGGTCTGAAACAGTGGTTTTGCACGGATCAAGATGTTTCAATCCTAGCGAAGCTGTCGTTAGTTTATCAGTCTGTCGTTCACTCACGCCATGCATGTTTAATGTGATGTTCCTAATGTCATCGCTCGTTGCGTTGTTAGCAAACTTCGGGATAGATCGTAAACTTTTGAAGATGTTAAATTTAGGCACCGTTATCTCGTTGATTACGTGAAGCCCGTACGGCATTGATAAAATTTTCTTTATACAAAGATCTTTCAAAGATTCCGGCACAGTAGTTTCCTTCCTTTCCGACTCATTTTTCACATAATTCTCGCCACTTTCTATTGGCACGTAGTACAAGTCCTCGACAGGTGAGTAGGGTATAGGTTCCGGTGTCACTGGGACTTCGTGACCATTGGCAACGTCACAGGATGATTCGTCTCCTTTTAACAGAGGAAGCTTGCTTTTCAAGCTAGACGATTCTACCTCTTTTTCCGTCGTACGCTTGAGCTTGCTTTTTCTTGCTTCTTCCGCTATTATCGAGTAAATATCCGCCTGCCAAGCATCCATCGGGTTATATTTCACTGTGCTCAAAGTAGTCGCGCTGCTGGACGAATCGTGACATTGGCAATCAGCTGTCCCGAGCATTTCTTTGTCCCCGGAACGTTCGAATTTCAGAATATGCTCCAATATTCCAGAAGGACTGTCGCATTTCTCTCTCTCCCTTCGATCAGGCTTATCATCCTTGCCATGGATGATGTTACATGTGTAAGGCATCCATTCGTCTGCTTCCCTCAAATTTGAATACTTGTATATTTCCTCGAATTCCTCTTCGCTGGTCGTTAACTCCCTGGTATCCTTCGAAGTTTCTACCTTGTTGCTGTACATCTTCATACCGGACACAGTCGATTTTCTCTCCTGCGTGTGAGTCGTTTTCGTACTCGACGTTTCGTTCCTGATAACCTTCTGAACACGATGATGCGTGTGCGGTTGCTTTGATCCAACTCTGTCCGTCGATGATTCGTTATTCGTCCATGTTTCATGTTCCTTCTTCGATCGCTTCTCATCGAATTTATTCGCTTGGTCGAATTCGTTCGTATCCGATTCTATTACCATTTTCACTATTCGTTCGACCGGTCTGTTTGTGCGAGATTTCGACAGAGACTTGGGCGCCAACCATTTTTCACGCATCTTTTGATCCAAGTGCTTCTGTGTTATTTCAAGACTTGCTCCACTGCCAAGCTCGGCGCCACTCTCAACATAATTGCGCAATACGGTAATGTTGTCACTCTCGAAACAAGCCCTCCTCCCGCGGATTCTTAGATCGTCGATGATCCCGCGAATATGCTCGGGTAGAGCTAGAGCGTCCACGTTCCTTAAGGTGTCACGAATATTTTCGACGGTCGCGTCACTCTGTGATATTATTGCCAATAGAGTTCTCAGAATATCCATATTCCTGCTCGCCGTCGACATTTCCGAAAGCAGTGTCTTGAAGTGTTGTTTCAGAGGTGTATCGTATAGCTCGAGATCTTCTTTCGGAAGTGGTGGACGACTCGGAGGATTGTCTTCGTCCGCAGTTTCTCTGCTCTCCTTTTTTCGGCGTAACGGGGGAATCGGTGGATTATTGTCGCGAATAGACGAACCGGCTGTTGTTTTCGTTTGAAAATCAATGTCTGCAAAGCTGGACGATCTCACTGGTGGCATTGGAGGGTCAGGCTTTTCCCTTGTCACTGAAACAGTAGTGATTTGGGACTGGAGCTCTGAGTCCTTGCTCTCTACGGGACAAGATTTTATCGTTACCGAAGATAATTCATCGTTGCTTCCAGCTTTCATGCTACTTGATTCTGAAACACCGATGTCGCTTAATTTAGTGTAATTCTTGGTTTGTAAGCTGTTAACTGATTTCGTGGCTTGCAGTGGTTTTTTATGGACACACTCAGACTTTGTTTCGTCTTCTGTCACTTTAGCTGTTTCATTTGATTGTGATGATTGTTTAAGCACTTCAGTAGTAGTTGTTTTATTTTGTGTTACTTCTTCAGAATTCTGAGAATTGTTATGCTCCAAATTCGATTCCTCCTTTTCTACCAATTCTGTAGCCAATGCTTTATTTTTAGAACTGCTATCGTTAGTAGGTGTTTGCAGCTGTGCGTCTTTTTCCGATAACGTATCTGCGCCAGAATTTTGCGCATTATTCTCCAATTGTGATTTCTCTTCATCCACAGATACCTCGATTAATTTGTTAGTTTCCAAATTAGCACTATCGTCAGCTGTTTCATCAATATCATCCAGCTTCTCAGCCTTTGATTCTCTCGAGGTTGCACCGAAAATACCTTCTGTTTCGTCTGAACCTAGTTTCTCTTCTCCGTTTCCCTGGTTCTCCCTTATTGCACTTTCATTAACGCTCGAACGAGCACCAGAAGATTGAATTTGTTCTTCTTCTAATTGTTCCACTCGCACAAGAGCATTTTCAATCGACGATCGTTTCTCCGTTTCTTTCGATTCTGCATTGTCGTTTAACGTTATATCTTCACCAGCTGTTTGCTCGTTATTCGAAACGCTAAACTCTTTGCCTGCACCATCGGACAACGTTTCGTCATTTGCTTCCTCTTTCTCACTTAACGCAGGCTCACTTGCACTAACACTGTCATTACCTATCTGCGATATTTCATCCCGAGATGCTTCCTCAGGCTTGTCATCGTCACTGACGTTTTCTCGCGTCGTTTTTTCACACCGCTCCTTACTTTCCTCCAACTTTCCCTCTTTCGGTGTATCGCTTTCCGTCGATTCATCTCCAAATTTCTCGACACCGTCGCTTTCCTTCGACTCCGAGTCCTCCTCCTTTAAATCCCCCTCAGGCGTATTTTCATCCGCCTCGCCGGCCGATCGTGATTCTCCTCTCGTTTCCCCACTTTCACTCCCAGTCGTCACTTTACTCGATTCTATATTTTCTCCGGTATCGAGTCTCGTGTCAGACTTGTCTTTCTGCCAAGGCGTTTCCATCGTGTTCGCGTTAACTATATCGATCGTTACACCATGTTCCATGCGAATCTCGTCGCTCGACACGTTCTCCGAAATATTCTCATCTGAACGGCGCTCCTCCCTCCGGTATTTGCCTATCTCTTCGTTAATAAAGTCTCTGATGTGCTGCTCCTCGTCTTCGGACAACTTCTCGCCCTCCTCTTGAATGATGTCCAAGAACCTGTTAGCCGCCTGCGAATGCGCGCTGTGTGACTCAAAAACGACGCGTTTCCTCACCTTCTTGTACGCCGAGTCGCTGATCCCCTCGCGTTCCATCGATTTGCACGTTTCCTCGACATTCTCCGCGTAAGCTGGCAATTTTAGCCCCTCCACGAAGCTCCTCAGTTTTCTTTCAACATCGCACGGCATCACGCTGTCCCAGCCGTGCCTCGTCGTCGCGGCGGGCCGTCTCGAGGCGTCGGACTCGTCGAAATCCCCTTCCAACAGCGTGGGTAGCTCCGCGGAGTCCTTTTCCGCGTCCGACAGGATCTCGGTGATAACTGGTTTGACGTTGTCCGTCTCCAGCAGGTCGCAATCGCTGACATCGTGGATCTGCAGTCGTTCGTTGCTTCCCGTCAACGTCTCCGTCCCGTCCAAGTTTCTCCTCTTGCGGGACAGTTTCGCCACGGAGGAAGGGAACGTCTCGGTAGGCTCGGAAATCGTCACGATCGTATTGTTTTCGATCGCCTTGTCTTTGCTGCCGGTCTCCAGAATACCGACACCGGGAATGTGATCGATCTTTGCCTCTAATGGCAAACTGCTGATCGTCGTGATCTCTAGGACCTTGATACCAGGCTTCACGGTACCTTTCTCGATTCTGCACTTTTCTTCCTTCATGTGTCTGCGGATCCGTGAAATTGCTCCCCCTGGAACAATCTCGTTATCTCCGCTCCTTGTTGCGCCTTTATCGTCTTCGTTCCCGATATTTCTCTGTTCGGTCTCGCCACTGTGTGCGATATTCTCCGTGCAGGAGTCGTTCGTCTTCGTGTTCGCAGAATCGTCTAGGACTTCGTCGGGAGCCTTTAGGTTCTCTGAATTTTCCACGGTGAGGTCGCCGACGTCTTTCGTAGCTCTCTCCGGCGTCGGCTGCCTTTGAAAGCGCCTTCTGTTGCGACCCCTGCGATTTCTGCGGTTTCGCGTACTGTGCGACATACTAATCTCTTCCGTGTCAGTAGCGTACTCCAAGGATTCGCGAAATCCTATGGAATCGCAGAATCGTGCAAAGTTTCTTCTCTTTTATTTTTCTTAGCTTTTTTATTTTTCTTATTTGGGGGGGTGGTATCTTTTTCAAAGCCTCGTAAAACGCGTTCCCGAGTCAAGAGGTTGAAGCGTTCGATTGACGTTTCCGATGAGATACGCTCTCAACGATATTTTGCCGCGCTTCAAGACGATCAAAGTGCATCGACATAAGACAGAAATGAAAACACCGTGCTCCTTTCTACGTGGCAACGGCCATTCCGAAGAGAATCGTTTAATCGTTCGACGTTCCGATAAACTCAGCAAACCTCGCGAAACGGCGAAAGCAAAATAGTGCGCGCGTGCTGTTTGCTAGCTTACTGTTAACTACGAAAATTTGTGAATACATTAATAATAAATCGAAACGTTTCGACACTTAAAGTACCTACTTTGTGTTATTACGATCAAATTCACGAATTAGAATCGTGTGAAAGATGATCTTATTATTGACAGAACTGTAATTAAATAACGTATTAAATACTCGAGTTCTAATTTATGTTTTCGACTTTGTGGACAACGATACGATGGCAGTTGGTGCTTGAAATGTGGTCTGATTTAGATGAAAACGTGATTTCGTTTAGTTCAAGACGTAATATTTACATTTATCCACAAATGAAACAAGAATAGCAAATGTAAATAGTGCAAACACGTGATTTCGTTTAGTTCGATATTTACATCTGTCCAGAAATGAAACGAGAATAGTGAAAAGGAAATTGACGTTGTCTTGCGATCGTGCAATAAGCATGAATCATTGTCAGATCAGCATTCCATAATAATATTTGCAAGTACTTAGAAAAAAGAGAGAAAGATAGAAGATGATTCTTACTTTTTGTAATTGCGGCACGTTGTTCGATCAGAGAACTCTTCGGACCACCGTTTTGATTGGCGTAGCTTTGATCAGATTTTGTGTCATCTGAAAAAAAAAAGCACGACACTGTGATACACCGGCGATTAATAGAGATACCGCAATTTCATTCTTGCTTTCAACGCTGGGTAACGATTTTCTCGTGGAAAATATGCCTTCGAAACGTTAAATACCAAATTCGAAGTGCTTCAAATGTCTCCTCGTTCTACGGTATTTCCTTCGAAATACAAAGTAATAGTAGAACTACTAACGAATAACGTATTTCTATCAAAGCAGACAAAACGATAAATTTTCTCTGAGAAAAGGTACATAATGGACGAAGCTATTTATTTAAATTTTTCTCACAAGAAATCTTCAAAAGTACATATTATAAAAATTGTACGATCTTTGTAAGAAATGACAAAACAGTCAATTTTCGTTATAATCACGCATACATTTTTGTTACACACTCTGTTTCGCGATACTAAATTGAAAGGATTAGCTTGGTGCAGATGAAATCTCGCTTTTTCTTTCATAAATTAAGTAATGGCAAAATAATTGTAACAACTTAATAATTTGCTAGTAACGACTTTAGGAGTATCTTTAATTTTCATCGTTCATTACGAAATACGAATTATTAACGATCTATTCGCTGCTATTGGCGCTGTTGGATTGTTAGGAAAAACGAGTGTCTGTCTGTGTAATAGTAACAGCAAAAATGATCAACATACTGAGGCAGATTAATATAAACATATATACAGGGTGTCCCGTAACTCCTCTAACACCCGGAAATGGGGGGTTGCTGGGGTGACACTGAACAACTTTTTCCTTTACCAAAATGTTGTTTGAAGCTTCGTTTTTGAATTATTAACGAAAAACACTGGCCAATCAGAGCGCGCGTAGTGTGGAAATTATTTTCTGAAGAAACACAATGTATCTAAAGCTCTGTTTCAGAAAAACGACGTTTCATGTGCACCAGCTTAGTATTTAAACGATCGATTTACGAGAGCATCTGTGAAACACTCGACGGCAGGTAAAATAATTCGAACAAAGGTGACGACGCTGACCACAGACCTGATGCGTGCGAAATCCACGAACAGTCGCGCTACGTTCGCGTGTTTTGGCACCGTTGACAACCACTTATGAATTTCGAATTAAACGTCAACGGGCCACAAATCACCGGCATGGCCTGTAGGGTCCATGAATCGCGGGAATGGACTGAGCGCGAACAGATCTGCCACCCGTGAAACACGCTCGAGTCCCCACCCACACGTGCGATCCTCTGTTCGCGCGTGTTCGCTCTAACATGTATTATTTACATACATGCTTACGAATATCAGGGTTTCTCAAACTGTTCTTCGGCTTCGATTAATAAATTGCACGTAGAAACGATGAATTGAAAGTAGAGGTTCTTTTTACGAAAACATAGTTGTTTGTACGCAACAGAAGTTAAGGGTTGTACTTCGTTCGAGGGAAGAAATTTTGCTTTTTCCTTTTCGTGAGAAATTGTTTTGTTAACCGTTTCACTGCTATTGACGCCTACAGGCGCTTTGAAAATTTGCTCGTATAGTGCTATTGGAGCCTATTGGCGCACTTCTATGTCAATTCAAGCGTTAATTTGATCCTCTGCACTCTGCCATGTTAATTCAGTGAAACAAATTTTAAAATGACACGGCTGAAAAAGAAAGTTTGCGGCCGCTGTGGAATATTTGAATTTGCCACACGCGTTGTGTACTGAAATTTGCCGTAGCCAAAGGGTTAAGCATTTTTCGTGTAACAGTTTATAATTGTGCTCTGCAGCAATTCGTAGAATATGATAAGTGAATACAATGGCAATCTCACGTAATTCAGAATGCTCCGACAAGCAACTCGAACAAGACTCACAAGGGAAGTTTGGTAACCTGAAGATTCAAGAGAATTTGAAACTTTGCAGAAATGTATTTTTTTGTCCTACCTGTCCTCCCGGTGGAAGCACCTCAAGGAAACTGTGAAATCCCATATTATCGCGAATATTTGTAAAACTGTGCACGATATACCAAAACAATTAAATTCGAAGTTGTGTGGTTTTTGATATTTAAAAAAAAAAACAATGGTAGAGGTGTTTTGAAGAAGAAGAAAAATGTTTTTCGAAAATTCTATACCACTATAATCTAGGATATGAATTTAACTTTATTTTCCATATCTCGAAAACTCGCAATTTTTTTAGAGGGTAGTTTCACCCCTAGGATCGTTTCATTGTCGGAACAGAAAATAGTTTCCTCGTTAACACCACTTGAACTACATTTCTACAAAGTTTCAAATTTTTTTGAATCATCAGGTTATCAAGCTTCTCTTGTCAGACAACTCTTAACCCTTTACACTTTTTTAAATATACATTATATTTCAGAATATCTTCTTTTCACTTAAACAAGCAACGTTGCACGTGTACGACGCTTTTTCGTACCAAAAAAGTCCAATTGTTACAAAGAAAGGGTCATGTACGTGTAACGAAGCAATTGTTCACATTGTTTCCTACTAACCAACTGTTCTCTGAAGTACATTTCAAGTAAAACACTTAAAATAATGCAGTCATTGGAAAGAAAGTGTAAAAAAAATTCAAACAAAACACTCTATCAGCAAGGAAAAACACTTCCTTCGCCTTCGTCCTCTGCCAACATAAAACGCACTATTTCGGGAGTTTTCCATCGAAAATGGTCAACGCATGGGTGAGCCCCTCGTGCGTCATCGAGGGTTTCCGCGATGGGCCTGGCTTGTGTCCCTGTCGACCCCCAATTTCTCTTTTACAACATTCATTCTGCGCCTCTTAAAACTGCATACAATACTGCAGAATTGTATTTTGGACCGCTCCTTTGAAGCATGCCTGATTTCACTAGCATCTTTGTGATGTTAAAGCGCTCCACTCGGGAATTGTGTACTCTAATTTATGCAAGTCAAATACTTGAAAACAATTATCCAGTAACTTCTCGGTAGAGTTTGAGTAGAATGGAATAGTTTGAAATGTGTAAACACACACTTGAAAGTACATCGTACGATAAAAGGACAATGTCTCTGTTAGAATTCTAATACTCTAGTAGCATCTCCTATTGTAATTTTGCAATTTTCATTTCTCTCCCTTTTTTAATTTTAATTTCATTCTTGCGCACGGTACGTAAATTTTTATCGATTGCTATTATCCTCGAATTTATCGTTGCGTATTTTATTCGCTTTTAACTGAAATATACTGTACAGCCAGAACGACTGAACGAGGTCATGAAACGCAATTTCTGTTATTAATGTATTGTAAAAAACAGACAGAGTGGAAATAAAATTTGAAAATTATTTACAGAAATATGATATAATAAAGATATGTGGGACCGAAAGATCCTCCAACCCATTGTAAACAGAATCTTT